TCCATTGTTAGGCTGATGGTCCTTCTTGAGCATGTGAGCAGCTGGTTCTGGTTGTCAGCAGCAAAACTGGTTGATCCACTCTGAGAAGGTGCTATTTTTATAAGACTGAGTTTCTAGCAGCTCCTCAGATTGAAGAAGTCCTTCAGATGAAAGACGAAACGTATCTACAGTTTTTTGTTTTTTGAACCGGTCCAGAGGAACTGACTTAATAATCCAGGTAGAAAAATCTAAAATAATTGAGCACGCATCAGGATAATCAGACCTACCCTTTCTTGAAAGCACCTTGATGTTCCAGTCCCTTAGGATGCAGATCCTGAGGTTCACAAGGTTCTCCAGATCTTTGATTGGAGGTCTGCTCACATCTCCTGTATCAGTTGGAGCTGTTGGAGCTGAGAATCGGGGAGAATATACAGGTGCTTGTCATAAATTAGAACATCATGAAAAAGTTGATTTATTTCAGTAATTCCGTTCAAAAAGTGAATCTTGTAGATTATATTCATTCATTACACACAGACTGATATATTTCAAATGTTTATTTATTTTAATGTTGATGATTATAACTGACAACTAATGAAAACCCCAAATTCAGTATCTCAGAAAATTAGAATATTGTGAAAAGGTTCAATATTGAAGACACCTGGTGCCACACCCTATTCAGCTGATTATCTCAAAACACCTGTAAAGACCTTTAAATGGTCTCAGTCTAGTTCTGTAGCTACACAATCATGGGGAAGACTGCTGACTGGACAGTTGTCCAAAAGACGACCATTAACACCTGCACAAGGAGGGCAAGACACAGAAGGTCATAGCTAAAGAGGCTGGCTGTTCATAGAGCTCTGTGTCCAAGCACATTAATAGAGAGGAGAAGGGAAGGAAATGATGTGGTACAAAGAAGTGTACAAGCATTAGGGATAACTGCACCCTGGAGAGGGTGGTGAAACAAAACCCATCCCAAAATGTGGGGGAGATTCACAAAGAGTGGACTGCAGCCGGAGTCAGTGCTTCAAGAACCACCACGCACAGAAGTATGCAAGACAAAGGTTTCAGCTGTCACATTCCTTGTGTCAAGCCACTCTTGAACAAGACACAGCATCAGAAGCGTCTCTCCTGGGACTGCTGCTGAGTGGTCCAAAGTTGTGTTCTCTGATTAAAGTAAATTGTGAATTTCCTTTGGAAATCCAGGTCCCAGAGTCTGGAGGAAGAGAGGAGAGGCACAGAATTCATGTTGCTTGAGGTCCAGTGTCAAGTTTCCACAGTCAATGATGGTTTGGGGGTCCATGTCATCTGCTGGTGTTGGTCCACTGTGTTTTCTGAGGTCCAAGGTCAATGCAGCATCAACCAGGAAGTTTTAGAGACTTCATGCTTCCTGTTGCTGACCAACTTTACGGAGATGCAGATTTCATTTTCAAACAGGACTTGGGACCTGCACACAGTGCCAAAGATACCAGTACCTGGTTTAAGCACCATGGTATCCCTGTTCTTAATTGACCAGCAAACTCACCTGACCCTAACCCCATAGAAAATCTATGGGTTACTGTGAAGAGTAAGATGTGATACACCAGAGCCAACACTTCAGAAGAGCTGAAGGCCACTATCAGAGCACCTGGACTCTCAGAACCTGAGCAGAGACACAGACCGATCCACTCCATGCCACGACACATTACTGCAGTAATCCAGACAAAAGGAGCAACAACTAAGTACTGATGCTGAACATGCTCATACTTTTCAGTTGGTCAACATTTCTAAAAATCCTTTTTTCATTGGTCTTAATATTCTAATTTTCTGAGATACAGAATTTGTGGTTTTCATTAGTTGTCAGTTATAATCATCAACATTAAAAGAAATAAACATTTGAAATATATCAGTCTGTGTGTAATGAATGAATATAATGTACAAGATTCACTTTTTGAATAGAATTACTGAAATAATCAACTTTTTCATGATATTCTCATTTTATGAGCAGCACCTCCCAGGTCACAGATACTTGTTTCATAAAGTTCAGACACATACTCGTCCAGACAAAAATGTGTTCCAGGTCTCGTTGTCCTGAGAAGAACAATGACCCCAAATCTGGGCACGAGTTTAAACCCACTTCTTGTAGATCAGCTTTTATCTGACTCTCCTGGACTGTCACAAACTCTTGACTTTCTGTACAATACACACAATTTGGCCTAAAAAGGTTTTACTTCAAATGCAAACTATTATAAAAAATAGAAAAATGTATATTTTTTAAATTAACTTCAATAAAACAACTCCGAATGATTACATTTTTCTGTGTAATAAAATCTATTTGATTTTCTTTGTATAAGGATTATCAACTTGTGTTCTGAAGTGTTCGAAATGTTGGTCAAACAAATTCCATTAGTTTTCTTGTTTCATCAGCAAACTAAAAAAGAACTACAGAAAGTGTTTGAGTTTTGTTAAAATGCAGTGAAAGAGAATACTTACGCTAAAACAACGAAGGTCATGCTAAAAGTAGAAAAAATGCCAGCTCCAAACTAAAAGTAGCAAAGTGCTAGCTACAACAAAACACTAGCTGAACATTTAAAATAGAAAAAGTTGAGCTAAAAACTAAATGTCTAAATGGCTAGTTAAAAGTAGCATAAGATTTTAAAGACGACAATGTTTTAATGAAAATTAAGATTATTTCTATATATTTATACATAAAGTTAAATATTATGAAAAGTAAAAACGTCAAAGTCAAAAGCCAAACCACGCATCGCCTGGATGAGCTAATGTTTTGATGTATGGCAAAGAAGCAGAAGTACTTAGATTTCTAAAATCATGAAAATAAATTAAAACAAAAAAAACAACTGTGTGAATGTTGCTGCATCATTGACACGAATAAACATCAATAAGAAGAGTTTGGGTCTCCAGAGTAGATCCCTGTTGTACACCACCTTTTCTAAACTGTATTTAAAGTACAAGTATATGTCATCTCTGGCTTCATGATGAAAATATATTTTATAGAGCAAATCTTGAAAATAATACAGAATATATAACTTTTTTCAACTAAATTCAACAAAGCTGGTTATGACAAGTGAGATATCATGAGCTAAAGCCGTACCAATTTCATACGTGTGTTGTTCCTCCTTCAAGGGTATTTCACGTCCTCCGGCTTCACAGACAGAGTACAGTTCCTGATCATCTGGATCACAGAGAAAAGTAGAACAAGAGCAGATCAGAACTTTAGGTCATGTTAGGAGGCCTGGCAGGCCCACAAGTGGAAGCTTGAAGAAAACTTCTGCTTTTATAGAAGACCTCATTTATGAGACACAAACATCATGGACAGTCTTCATATGATCACAGTGTTCAATTCAGTTCAGTTTATTTATAAAGCACCAAATCACAACCAAGTTGTCTCAGGGACTTTACAGGAACATTCACATAAAATCCAGTTAGTAAAGTTCTCTATCTAAGGAATCCAGCAGACAAGATGAATCTTGGCTTCGTTGCAGTCTCCCATCCTGAGCAAGCACAGTGGAGACAGTGGAAAGAAAAACTCCCTTTAACAGGAAGAAACCTCCAGAAGAACCAGGATCAGGACAAGAGACCATCTGCTTTGACCGGCTGGTTGAGAGGAGAGTGTTCAGCAGGAAGTGATCGCTGACAGACTGCTTATGAGAACAGGCATCAGAGGTCAGTCTGAGGTCAACCTGCTGGTCGCAGGACTGGATCGGACCAGGCACGGACCCATACCAAGTTGGGACCAGTGTATCCCTATGGAGGCCATGATGTGTTAACCAGACATGTTCTCAGATCCTCCCTCACAGCTGCAGCAGCTGGAAGGAATGGAGCTGTAAATATAGAAGCTGTCATCCTGATGCATGCTCAATAATCCAGGTAGAAAAATATAAAAAAAGTTCAATCTGGTCCTCTGGACATTCAAAAAAACAAAACAAAGCAAATCAACAAAAAATGTAGAAACGTTTCGTCTCTCATCCTGAGGACTTCCTCAGTCTGAGGTGCTGTTTTCAGCTCAGTCTCTTAAATAGCACCTTCTCAGAGTGGATCAACCAG